CTACCTGGCTGGACTCATTTGAGTCCAGTCTTTTCTCTCGCCCAGGCGGGGGGTCGGACTTTAGGATCTACAAGGTCCCTTCCAACCCTACTTCTATGATTCTATGAACTGCACTATATGTTGCAATGCAGGTGATCATGCTTCAAGGATGTCTATAGGTGCCCCCGGCTGCCACACACCAACTTGGGAAAAACCCCTGCTTGCAAATGGGCTCCCCTCATATGGAGGAGCAAGGAATCCACTGTGAACATATCTGCAAACATGTCCAGCACATGTTTCTGGCAGCAGTGTGGAGCATGGACTGCAAACATGGAGGAGGAACCCCACTACGGGAGTTTCTCCTATCCCCCGCTCTCCCCCCGACACTTGCAGGCATTTCCCTATAAACTGCACAGAGTGTGCGTCTCCAGGCAGTGGACCCCCGCTTCCAGAAACACACCTGAAGTCCTAACTTCCCATGCTTACCCAGATGCATCCCTGGAGAGACATGCCTGGGTAAGCTGGAAAACAGAGGCAGGCACTCCCAAAGCTTGAGGGGGAAAATCCAGGAATAGTCTGGGTGTGCAGGATGGGGCACTCAAGCCCAAAGAGACCCTGCCCTGGGGGATGCTGGAAAGCCTGGGTAGTTTCATGCTACCTGAGCTCTTCTGCCATAAGCAAACAGACATTAACCGCAATAGAGTGGCCCAATTTAATACTACCTTCTGTTGCAGCCAGCAATTTGAATATTTGTGGCATGACAGAAGGCACAGACATCTGTTGGCTTTCACGCTGTGCCCCATAAAACATTTTTATGGCAGCACAAAGGCAACATATATTTCCACCCCATGAGCTACAATCATGCCTCTGAACTTCTCACATACCCTTAGAAAATATCAATCTAGGAGGGTTAAGGTTGAAATTTTGAAAAGCACCTATGGCAGTTAAGGACCTAGGTCCCATTGAAATTGGACACTTAATTCCTTTAGGTCACTTTAATAATCACAGCCCAAAGGATTGCTATTTATTCTAAAACATGTGGTCGTTCCTTGTTTTCTCTGAAGTTCCCCGGAAAAATCTCTGAATAGATAGGCAAACTCACCTTCCACAAAAACAGCTAATGAAAGCATCATCCTATCCATAGCCACTGGCAATGCATTTGTTCCATGAGCTACAATATCAACCAGCCCTGAGATGCAATAGAATAGATACATGGTGGCATGCTGCCAGTTCATCAAGTGATCCCAGTGGTTTTCTTCATAATTATACAACTTCAAATGAGGTCCATCAGGAACAAACTGCTCAGCAATCATACCTGCATATGAAATAACAGGGGAAGAGCTGCTATCTGTTCAAAAGTACAGATTAAATTTTAAGTCTTCAGCCATACAATAGAGACAAATGCAACAGCATCCTAATTATGCTATATCACTGGTAATTTGCAGCCAGTAAAAATACAAATCAGCAGGTTAGGTTGCCTTTCAAACAATTAGCCTTGCTGATAATCCAGCTAAATCTCTGGCAATCTTCTTCAGGGGGTTAAAATTAGTTTAATAATAAGCTCATTAGAACCACAAAGTTAAATGACAACAAGACAATTTAGCGTTTCATCCCTCTGTAGGGCATATATTGGCCCCTGTCACTATATAATTAATTACATGGGAAGGAATGTCTCCAATACAATTTTAAAAGGGGCTGCTGCCTCTGCTGTACATAATTATTAAAGATCCCAGGAGAGTTTGAGAATAGAGGTTTATGATGGTTTGGTTTTTTTGGAGATGGTTAATTACCATTACAGCCCTATCTTAAGACTTCAGTTTTGAGACCCGCATACAGTAAACAGTTCAACAGTCATTCTGCCCTCCTTCAGGAAGAAAAAGTTCCTGGGCTAAATGAGAGTGATAGGTTTTGAGCAGGGGAATGATACTTAGTTCACCAAGTCATCTGTCTGGCTTTCATTTTGGTTTGAATCTAAGCCATTCCATCATGGAATGCAAAATGGCAATCTCTGGCAGCACTTCCACAGCTCAGAGGTCTGGCTCTTTTGTAAAGGGTGAACATTTTCACACATCAGTCAGAGGGCATTCTACCTTCACATAATTATAATTAACTGGGGACATGAATACCAGTATCATTTTACAGCACTGGACTGAAAGTAAGCACTGCCCAACCTGTCTGCAGTTGCCACTTTGCATATCAGAGGTCAAATGACCTCACATTTGCCCTAAATCCATATCCCAGCCTCCAAGCTGGCATACAACTGTTCCAGCTGATCCTATGTGTGTCAAAGCATGAGCTTCTTAAAGTGGCTTTGGAATTATGCGAATGTGCATTAGACAGAAACCATGCTACAATTGTACCTATGCTATGGAAAGGCTAATGGTAGCTCCAGTTATTCTTAAGACTCATGGACTTTAAGGTCAGAAGAATCATTAGATCACTTGATCTGAGTTCTTGTGATCACTTGATCAATGATAATGTGATATTCTCCAATTATATCTGTACCAAGCCCAATAACTTGTTTGGCCAAAACAGGAAGGGATAGGGCAAACCCACAATTTTTGGGGGGCTCCCTGCAAGATAGTTTTGGGGCCCCCAATCCACCAAAAAAATCAAAACTGTGATTAATCACAGTATAAACTCACTGAAGTAAAATAGTCAGGGCCGGGCTGTGTGCATGTGGGCTGCACTGCCAGGGGCACAGCATAGATGCAGCACATGCTGGGGCTGCCTGGGTTCCAGCCCCAGGGCCAGGGTGGGAGTGGAGCCAGGAACTCCTCCCCCTGCTCAGCCAGAAAGGGGCTCCCTTCCTGCATCAAGCCCTTTAAACATGGCACAGGCAGCGAGGCGCGAGCAGGGCACAGCCCCTTGGCTGCAGGGCCCCCTGTGGCCGCAGATTCCACAGGATAGGACAGGCTGGCCCTGGAAGTGGACAAAATACAGCCCACAGGCTGCATTCAGCCCACGGAGGGGCTTTGTCCAGCGGGTCCCTTGGTCCTGCTTGGCCCAGGCACTGTCCGGCCATGGCGCATCCTGCCACCCCCTAGGTATGCAGCAGGGCTGGGGCGACTGTGGCCCCTCTGCACTGCAACCACTGCCCTGTGGGGCAGCATGGAAGCTGCGGTGACAGCAGCAGAGCCGCAGGGCAGCCCAGCATGGGCTCCAGAGACAGCTGCAGCAAGAAGCACCAGGCAGGAGCATGGGGGAGAAGCCACTTTTCCATCCATGCTGAGCAACAATTTCCGCCCGGCAAGCATTACTGCTGCCACTGTTTAGCATGAGCGGACAAGTCCAGGGTAGGCACGGGGTGGGCCAGGTCAGGGCTGTAGCGCTAGTACTGCATGGGAGGCACTCAGGGGAGCACGCATGCAGGGGGCTCCCAAGCACACCCCACCATATCCACAAACCCTCCCCTGCAAACCCTACAACCACACCCTCCCTCACACACAATCATACACCTCACAAACACTGCACCTACCCACACCCTCCCCCACACTCCTCCATAACTCCCCATGACCCCCACAGACACACCCACATGCCTCTGGGGGAAGCCCTGCTCACTGCTCCACCCCACACACACAAGGAGTCCCTCACAAACCCCATGCCCACCCACCCATACTCTTGTATACTGGGGGGATGCTGGGGGTAAGACTTCATTTTGAGCTATTATGCTCTAAACACACAATGCAAACACATAAAAATCAGGACATTTAAAAAAAAATTAAATTAAAATATGTTATTGTGGATGCTTGACTTTTAGTATATAATTTGTTTGTTTCTTTTCCAGTTCCAGCATGACAACCCCCACTTCCCAAATGGAATACTTCCAGGGCTAGGTCTGGCGGCAAGGTCAGGAGTTAGGGGGTGGGACTTCTAGTCCCAAGATGGTGGCCAAGGGGCAGGGCACCTGTTAAGGGACAGGGCTCCCCTTGCAGCCCTTGACAGATCACCAAAACTTGTCAAGTGGCCCTCCAGCTGAAATAATTGCCCACCCCAGGGCTAAAGCATGACTTTCAGAATGGAATCCAGTCTTGATTTGATAAAAAGAGAGGGAAACTTGTTACAATATTGCAGCATTAATCATTAATGAACTATTTAAACAATCACTAGAATTGTATTAAATCTGACAGTGAATAGGACTTTTTAAAAATCAAAATACTAATAAAAGTGGCCTTTGCTTTGTTTGGTTTCTTTAGAACCACAGTCTAACTTACCAATCAGGGCAAACACTGCTTTGATGATCCCCTCAATAAATTCCAAGCGCTGAAATCCTGCCCTGGTACCAAGGTAGCAAGCATTCTTGTTCTTTCGGCATACGTACTTTAGTGGGTACTTCACTGACCACCACAAGCCAAAGAGGAGGAAAAAGCTCCCAGGGAGGGCATGGCCTTTGAAATTGCCCATGTTTCTCTACAATGTAAAAAGAAAGCACGGAATTCTGATTCATTACAGTAGCTCTATGAAAAATTATAGAAATTTTCAAAGTTGGCTAAAGAACTCCAGCACCAAAATCCTACTTTTAAAAAAATCATTTAATTCAATGAAATGTGGGTTCCCTTAGGATACTTTCAAAATCTTGGGGAGAGTCTCACAACTTCACAACACTTTGCAGAACAAGAAAAGAGTGACACAACTTGGAGATATTACAAATCTAACAGATTAATGAAACTTTACCAAACACAATACAAGCTTTCAGACAAAGTTTATACTGATAAAGAGGCCATATAAATATTCAAAACCCATTCTGACACCCTTAATGAGTTGCTGTATACTGTCTTACTCTGCAAATAGTGTATGTCCTCCTCCTCCCCACCCCAAGTCTAGGGGACTAGCTGCAGAGAAAGTAAATTCTCATTAAGGATAAGGCTAGCGGAATGAGGGGCTAGGTAAACATTTATTAATTACACCTTGCACTTATATCAACTTTCATCCAGATATCTCAGAGTAACCTACAAACATTAACTAATTCTCAACACCTTTAAATGGTAAGTAAATTATGCAACTGTGGATAGAGATATTGCCCCATTTTATAGGTAAACACAGTCATGCAAAAGGTTATTACTTAGTCCAATAACTGAACAGCAAAGGCAGAAATAGAATCCAAGAGTTCTGACACCCAGGTATCATCAGCCACTTCAGGCATACTATTCATCCATCTTTCCCAAAAGACACTAAACCCTGTGCGGGAAACAACCATTCAATAATACACAACCAACAGTAACCACTTCAGAACCATTATCAATCTGTGTTTTACATCTTTCATATTAGGAATAATAAATCTACACCACAGTACCCTGGAGTCAAATCTGATATAAATAGAATATGGAGGCTCTAGTATATCTTCCTTCCTAGTAAGTATTTCCTCTGGTCAAATGTGACCAGCAGTTTTCAAACTGTGGTTTGATGGTCCTTGTTGTATTAGCTGATCATGTTGTGCCAGCTCTTCTCCCCGTTTTCACCTGCTAAATTCTATTAAAAGCAAAAGCCAAAACAAAATATCCAAATTATTTTCTAACATTTACAAATATAATCATAGAAAATTAGGGCTAGAGGGGACCTTGGGGGTCCAACACATGCTCAAGGCAGGATCACCCCCATTTAAACTATCCTATACAAGTGTTTGTCTAATCTAATCTTAAAACTATACAAAAAACCCTGTCCCGCAACTACCAGGTACATTACTCAGAAACATCAAGAACACCCTAATCTGCCACAAGTAAACCAGCGGGATGAGGGCACTGTCAATAGTTTCCATGTAAGCAATTGCTGAAGCTGCCAAAAGTTGTCCACCAGTAGCTGGAGGAAGGATGACCCAAACAATCACAATTTTAAAAGGAAAAAGGTTCCATGAAGGGCTATTTACATATAATTTATGCTATGGAAGAATGTAAGAACCTTTGTGCTGGAACAAATCCGAGGAAGGTGTGGAGGGACTTCCCTCCCCAACCAGAGAGATTTAAAATTAGTAAGGAAAATATTTAGTAGAGGAAAGTTCAGGGGAATGGTTATTTCTGAATTACCAGAACAGGGATATATGGTATTGTCTGTCAAAATACGTCCATGTCTTGCTCTGTCCACTCAAGACTGTCATGGTATGTAACTATTCAAGTATGGGGAATGAAAGTTTAAGAGAACGTGATTTCAAGGGTTCCAAGTAACACATGCATTCGCTTGTCTGTGCTCTTCCCTGTACTGAGAGGGACTGAAATTCCAGAAACAAGTTTCTGTTCACCTTCCCAGAGGTTTCATGCTTTAAGCTTTTAAATATTCCACCTGTATGGGAAGCATTAGCGTTGGTGCCTCCAAAACCCACTGGCCTGAATGGCACCACTGTCTTTTATTTTTAGACATGTTATTTTTAATACCTTGAGCAAAGGAAAAAGAAACTTCCCCCTCCATATTTTTTTGATCTCTCTGAACACCAGTCATTCAAAATATTTTATTCATTCCACATTTGGTTACTCACTGCAGGTGCAAAGCACTTGGACAGGAAAGCCTTACCCTCTACCATACATCAAAGCAAGATATTAGACTAGAAATGTAAATGAAATCTGTAAGAAGCCTATGCTTAGAGGGAGGTTATAATTACAGTAAATCAGATTCAAATGGAAATCAGCATGTTACTGCAATATTTAGTACACAGCAATATTTGAGGCTATAAAAATGAGCTATTAAACAAGGCAGTAAGAGAACTAATACTGCAAGATGTATTTCCTTAAACAGGACCAGTTAGTCGATTAATATAAACATACATATGTTTAAAACGAATATTTCTCTTTCAAAATCAGAGGAAAAACAGGCTGCTCCAAATTGAGCCACAAAAAGAGCAGAAGAAAGAAGACTGACCACATGCACTATTTGTTAGGGTGACAGTATTTGGATCTTGGATTGGATTTGCAGCTGAAGAAAAGGCTATAACCTGTGGCCTAGCAAGCTGCTAAATACAAGGCAGAATAGTATATTAAAAGAAACATTGCAAGACCTCCCCCCTTAAGTTGCTTTGTGGCATCTTGGTATCTTGCCATGCACCCCAAGTTGTCCAATGTTGCTTCTGGTGTGCTTGGCGCGCCTCCTCAGCTGGCTCATCCAGACTGATGTATCTGGAGAGGAAATCCACCACAAGGTTATCTTTACCAGGGCAATGCACCACCATGAACTTAAAAGGTTGCAGAGCAAGTGCCCAGCAGGTTATGTGGGTGTTCTCTATATAGGTTTTGGTTAGCCACTGAAGTGGGGCATGATCTGTTACCACCAGGAACTCCCGGCCCATCAGATAGTATTTGAAATACTTCACTGTCCAGCGTATGGCTAAGCACTCCTTTTCTATTGTAGCATACCTGGCTTCTCCTAAAGTTAAGTTTAGGGCTGGCAAATGCAACCAGGCAGTTGTCTTCCCCGCATCATTGTAGCAGGGCCGCCCCCCTGTAAGATAAAAGGGGCAGAAGTCTGAGGTATGCACTACTACATCTTGACACATGGACTCCTTCAGATTCTTGAAGCTTTTTGTCATTTCGGCCATCCGTTGTACAGCCCTTGATGCCCTTCCTTGCACTGCATCTGTAAGGGCTGTGGCAAGCTCCGCAAAGTGCGGTATAAATCTTCAATAGTAATTAATGAGCCCCAGGAAGGACCAGAGTTGATGACAGTTGCACAGCTCCTGAAAACAGCGTATCGCCTCTACTTTGTCTTTGAGGGGTCGGATAGTTCCCTGGCCCGCACAAAACCCCAGATACTTGGTCTCTTTTCCTGCCAGTTTACATTTTTTTGGATTGGCCGTCATTCCGGCCACTTTGAGTTCCCCCAGGATGGCCT